AGTTCTTTGCTCCTGCTCTCTCTCCTTCTGCTCCTGATTTGGACCTTGAGGTTTCAGTCCGGTGCTCCAATGTGGGTCTCTGTCTCTGTCACTTTTCATCGTCATGGCTTCTTTCATAAATCTTGTTCATTTGAGGCTTCAGGCTAAGGATTTTCAGGTATTTATAGGGTTATGCAGCTATTCATAATTTTAGAGGGTTTTTTTTTTCACATCCTCAAGAACCTTCTGCAAGGCTGTCCTTCCTTCCTAATACCCTCCTCCATGCCCTGGCAAGCATTAGTCTACTTTGGGTCTCCAGGGATTCACCATGCTGGGCATTTCATGTAAATGGAATAATTTAATACAGTGTCCTTTACACCTGGATTCTTCTAGTGATATGTTCACAAGACTTATCTGTGCAATAAAATGCATCAGCTTATCATTCTTGTTACAGTCTGTGGATATTTGAATAAGAGCAGCCCCCATGGGCTCATATAGTCTTATGCTTCTTCACCAGGGAGTGGAACCGTTTGAAAGGATTAGGAGGTGTGGCCTTTAGAGTAGGTGTGGTCTTGTTGTAGGAAGAGTGTCACTGGAGGTGGGCTTCGAGGTTTCACAATTCCGTGATAGGCCCAGTCTGTCTCTTTCTTGATCGCAGATCAGAATGTAGTTCTTAGCTACTACTCTAGAGCTGTCTGCAGGCCACTATCCCCACACCTTGATGATAACGGACTAAACCTCTGAAAGTGTAATCAAGCCCACTATTAAATGGTTCCTCTTATAAGAGTTGCCTTGGTGTTGGTGTTTCTTCACAGTCATAGAATGCTGGAAAAAGATATTTAATTGTGTAGACAAACAAGACAAACATTTTTTACCGTTATTAAATTTATGACCATTTAATTTGTTTCCTGTTTTTGGATATTACAAGCTATGATGCTATGAACATTCATGTACAAACTTTGTGTGAATATAATGTGTTCATTTCTTCAGGGTAAATATGTAAGAATGGAATTTCTGGTCACGTGGTCACCAGGTTAACATTTTGAGGCAGTGATAACTGCTTTCCAGGGTTACTGTCCAAATGTACATTTCCACAAGCAATGTGGGAGTTTCCATTTTCCCACATCCTCACTGACACTTCTTTCTGTGGGTGTGACAGATGGTTGCTTTTTTTCTAAATAGTCATTTTTAAAAAATCTTATTGCATGTGTATTGTGTACCTGAGTGTGTGTTTGTGCAGAGAGGTCAGAAGAAGTGTCATATTTCTTGGAACTAGAGCTAGAGTATTGTGAGTGATTACCACATGGGAATCCAACTCTGGTCTTCTGCAAGATCAGCGAGTGCTCTTAACCGCTGAACCATCTCTCCTAGTCCCAGAGAGCCTTCCAGTTTTGAATGATATTTCCCTGATGAAAAGTGAAGTTGAGATGATTTTTTTTTTGAGATGAAGTATCTTGCTATGTTGCCTTGACTGGCATCAAATTCATTTCCTCCCGTCTATAGCTCCTGAGCGCTGGAATTGTGGTTGTGTGCCCCCTCTCTTGGCCCTATGTCACGAACCATTTTTCTTTCTCTTCACTTTCTTACATTCATTCCATTTTTAATAGTAATAATTCTCCTCTCCTCTATTGAAGTTTTCTGGATAGCTAGCACAAAATCTGGATAGACAGTGTTGGTTTCAAGAGGACATTTTCAGCTCTGAGTGGAAAACTTGAATGAAACTCAAGGACAGGTTTACTACTGTTGAGAATTAAATCTACTAGTTGGTTTAACTCAAGCCAACATACCTTTACTAAGTATGTTGTTCAGATTACTGGAATATGGTAAATAAACTTTAGTATTTCTAGACAGTAAGTATGCATTTATTTAGAATGACACACAAATATGATTATCATTTGATCCAGAAAATATGGAAGTCTCCAGAATCCAGGAAGAAACAAATAAAGCAGGATAAATACATAAGCTGGTTCAGCAAATGATCTGGGAGATAGGGTTAGAAAGGGGGTGGCCTGTGAGTTTGCATAATCTAGGGGTTCGGGTTGAAATAAAAAAAGGCAGGAGGACAAAAAAACGGGGTCTCCTGAAGGTAACTGGGTCTCCAGCAGACAGACAGACTTCAAAGGACTGTGACCTCAGAAGGAGGAAGATGGATTCACTCACAGTGGTGACATGAAGCTGTCTTGGTTTAGTTTCTGGATAAAGATGTCTATTTTAAGAATTTGCAATCAAAGAACCTGAAATCATGTAAGTTTGGAGTCCAAATTATACTACCTCCACTCAAGAGAATCCTAAGGTAGGAAATTAACAAAAACAAAACAAAAAGTCTCCAAGCCAGAGGCCTCAGGCATTCAGCAGGCGAAGAAGAAAAAAAAAAAAACCACAGAAGTGTGTCCTGGAGGGACCCTCTAGGGACTTTCCAGGCCAGCAGTTTGCCAAGACTCCTAAAAGGACTGCAGAATCTAAAGCTCAAGATGGCTTTCTTCTTCTTCAGATCCCCCCCCCCGCCCCCGCAAGATTCTTCATTTTCCAAAGCCTAAGAGGACGCCGGTTTATTCTCCCCACCCATCTTTACATCTTTCTGACAGCCGAGAAATCCCGTCATTTAAGACCGAGCTGTGACAAGTCTGAACCAGCAAGGATTATTTCCGAGTGGAACTCACTGGGTTCTTACATGAATAACGCTGAAATTAACCTGCAGAATGGTAAACAGGGCTTTGCTTTGCTCTTTAATTCTCTGCGGTGTCTTCTCTGTGATTGGTGTTTTGAGATTTATCCAGGGCACCTATTTCTGCTGTTAGAGACACTTGCTGTTTTTAACCTCTCTCTTTATTATCGTCTCCTGATGAATTTCATGGCACTTTGGTTTCATGACACAATTCAGTACATCTGTGATCTTTTCAGTGTCCACTCAGGTTTCTCCTGCTTCATCAATGCTTCTTATTTCTCTTCAGTCTTTTGAAGGCTGCACATTCTTCCAGTATCAGAGCCTACCCTTTTTTAACATTTATTATAAAATAATGATACTTTTTTTTTATAAATTCACACCCATTTTTTTTAATCATATTCATCCTGATGTGACAAATTTCTATGTGGTAGTCTTTTTTTTAAAATATTTATTTATTTATTATGTATACAATATTCTGTCTGTGTGTATGCCAGCTGGCCGGAAGAGGGCACCAGACCTCATTACAGATGGTTGTGAGCCACCATGTGGTTGCTGGGAATTGAACTCAGGACCTTTGGAAGAGCAGGCAATGCTCTTAACCACTGAGCCATCTCTCCAGCCCCCAAATAATGATACTTTTGACAATTCTAATATTGACAAAAATGCTATTGTTGTCGGGATGGGTTACCACTATAGAAATTTTCTCCTCTGGGTTTTTGCTGACTTTTGCTTCAGAGATGGTACAATGCAGTTTAATGGAAACCTGACACTGCTGAAGACTTGGCCCTGCCTTAGAAACGTCCCCGGATGGGAAATCTTGGTTTTGTTCTTTGTCATGCTTTTGCTTTTGAGGTTTAGTTCTTAGCTTGGAGTGTGCATCGTCTTCATATGTCTTTTGCATGGGCGAGTTTAAGGTCTTGGAGACAATTCACCTGAAAAAGCAGAAAAGAAGAAAAGCAAAGCAAAGAAAAAGACCTAGGACAACCCTTCGGAGTAACCTCAAACTTGAGGCCAATGGGTGTGTTTACCACTTTGCATTGCTGTGAAAAACAGCTGGTCTAAACAATTTAAGAGGAGGAAGGTTTTATTTTGGCTACTGTTTAGAGGCTTCTGTCGTGGCTGGTTTTCTCTTTTCCTGTTAGGGCTGTTCAAGGCAGATATCGTATGGCAGCAGTCATAGTGGAGAAAAGCTACCCATTTCGTGATATGCAGGAGCAGGGAGAGAAACAGGAGGAGGTCAGGGATGAGATATACCCTTTCTTCAAAGTCAACCTCCTGTAACCTACTCCTTCCGGTTGAATCCTACCTCCTAACGCCAGTTATGAACTCATCAGTGAATGAAACTAGTGCCCCCGTGATCCCGTCCCCTCTGGGTATAGCACCACTAGCTATGGGGCAGGCTTTTGACACAGGAGCCTTGGGGGCCATTTCATAATCAAGTTATAATGTTGAGGGAAACAATGAGGAAAGTCTAGCTTTGATTAGAAAATGAAATAATATGGTGGCCCATGCAATGATGAGAGAGACAAAATTGCAGATGAACTCCTCTTTCTTTCGTCCTCTTCCTTCCTTTCTTCCTTCTTTCCTTCCTCTTTTCCTCTCTTCTCTTCTCTTTTCCTCTCTTCTCTTCTCTTCTCTTCTCTTCTCTCCCCCACCCCCCCTCTCTCTTTCTGGAAAGAGATAACCTTGAAAGAGAAAGCAATTATGGGGCTAGCAAGAAACCAGACACTAGGAAAATTTCCAGGAGCACACAAGTATGACCTTAGCTAAGACTCTAAGCAACAGTGGAGAGGGCGCCTATACTTACTGCCTTTCCCCTGTAATCAGATTGATGTCTACCTTAACTGTCATCATAGAACCTTCATCCAGTAACTGATGGAAGCAGATGCAGAGATACACAGCTAAGCACTGACTTGAACTCCTGGAGTCCAGTCATAGAGAGGGAAGAGCGATATAATGGGGAACCCTACAGAAACAGCTGACCCAAACTCACTGATTCTGGACTGACAGCTGGGGAACCTGCCTAAGGATGAACTAGGCCCTCTGAGTGTGGGTGACAGTTGCATGGCTTGGGCAGTTTGTGGGGCCACTAATAGTCGAATCAGTATTTATCCCTAGTGCATGAACTGGCTCTTTGGAGCCCATTCCCTATAGAGGGATACAGGGGAGAGGACCTTGGTCCTGCCTCAAGTGATGTGACAGACTTTGTTGACTTCCCACGGGAGGCCTCACCCCCTCTGAGGAGTGGATGGGGGCCAGAGTGGGGAGAAGGTTGGGGGAGCAAGAGGATGGGAGGGAGAGGGAACTGGGATTGGTGTGTAAAATAAGATTGTTTTAAAAATAAACAAAAAAAAAATCCGTTCTTCCAGTGTGAAGAATCAGGCATGACTTTCGGGTACAGAGCCTTGGTTTTACTTCCATCTAGACTTTCAGAACACACAATCTGTAGCAGGAATAATACCATGGGTGTGAATTATTTTATGTACGGACTCTTGAACTTTAACTGATTTGATCATGAGATGAAGCTTGGAGACAGATTGCCATTCTATTTTGTGCCCAGTTTTGTCCTTCCCCATAGGAAAAAAGACTTTCTTTGATGTCTCTAATATTGTTCTAATTATTTAAATGTCTTCATTTTGGAGTATTATATGTGGAAAATACAAGCAGAAATTTGGACATCAGCTTTTGTTGTCTCTTTAGTCACGGAAGTATACATGCTAGGGACCACTACTAGGAAGGATAAACTAATCCACAATGCACCATTAGTTCACTCCTGCCTGTGGTCAGCTTCTATTTTCACACTAGAGAAAGTTTCTCTTTAAAACAAACAAATGCAAATTAAACTCATAACCTCGAGTGGCTGGCAATTGCTCTCCTGTTCCACAAAGGGGCGCTATAGAGTTTTACAAGTTGCCCTTTTATGGGCAGAAAGGAAACCATAATACAAATGATCATGATTAGTCAATGCTTTGGTTTCTCATAAATGAGCACTTAGTGTCTATTTCTTAAATGAAGGTAAGGGGGAAAGTTCTCACCACAGAGATGAGCATGTGGATTTGATCAAGTCACTCCCAAAGTGTTGCCTTCACCTGCCGAATGATGCCAAATGAGTCTGAATGTTTTGGAGGTTTAAAATAAGCCTTGAGAAAAATTTAAAATGTACATGGTGCAATCCGAGAAATGCTCTCTTAAGTTTCGCAGTTATAAATCTGGAAGAGTTGTTTGGGTCATTAGATTACTTTTAGGCAATCCAAAATCTCTAAAATCCCATTAAACTGTAGTCCCTTCTAACGTAACACTTTGTACTGAGGCTAACGGGAGATCACGAGATACTGAGCCACCCGTGCAGTCCGAGACTCGTATGAAGATAACCACCCGGGCTATTTGGTATTGCGTATGAAGCAAGTGACTAACTTATTGATTTCATTTTAAATATTTGTTACCACTAAGGAGTTTACAGATGTATTTGGGTCTGCATTTTTAACCTGTATTTTTTTCTTCTTTGAGGGTGGATGATTACCCTGTAAGAGAGAGAAATCTAGGGACCAGTGAGGTGGCCCAGCAGGTAAACTGCTTGCCACCAGCTCTTATGGCCTGAGCTGAATTTCCCAGGACTCACACAGTAGAGGAGAGAACTGCCTCCCTCAAGGTGTTCTCTGACTTCCACACGTACACCATGACACACACACATACTCCACAAATAAATACACATCTTAAAAAAGCGTTAGGCAATTTTGAAAAGAAAGGGGGAAATGCTGCCTTGTACAAAGCACACTTTCATCTATGTGTATTGCTTCCGAGGACGAGATACATCTATGACATTTTGCTCTTTCTTTCATTGCCTGTTGGCAAAACCACCCACTGGCGATGGAGGTACATGGCATATTTGCTAAGAGACGAAGACAAGAGAAAACTTACTGTTCCGGGCAGTAGTGTAAATAGTCCACAAGTTCTGAGTCTGTGATGTGTAAACCAGAATCAGGATCCTCCATGACATGTAGTAAGCCCAAGGCATAAGAAGGCGAGGCCAAAGAAGGTCAATAAGATCTTCAGAGAGCCGAGGTGGTAGAAATAGAATAGTTTAGGCAAGGCATGGATTTTGTAGGGACTCTTGAGAGACCCACAGAAACGTCAGGAGAGCCAGGTCGCCGACACGAAGTCCTCACCGCTGTCCCCGCAGAAACTCTACTGCCAGACCTACTCCCGCCTTCATAGTGTAGCTTCCATGCTGTGTGCAGCTCAAACTGAGGGCATTCAGGTCTGGCCCCCAGAACTTAAACCATTTCTTGCTTCAAGGAGGCCTTATAGCTCTTCGTCTTCTTTGCCCCAACCAGAGAAATAAAACAACAAAATCTCCATCTTTTTGTGCTCCCCCATGAAGTGGATTTCTGCATGAGCATATCGGATTGGTGCCTACGTGTCTGCTTCCATGCGTGAAGCCTAGGTGGGAAACTTAGCTCTTAGAGGGGGGTTTCCAGTCAGAGGAAGGATCGTGAGAAGATAGTGAGCAAATGTAACAAAAAGCCTCTGCTGGCTGTCTACGAGGGTGAAGAGAAAACCATTTAACTAAACAAGTAAAAGCACTGTCAAGGAGTCAGGTTGTTAAAGGTTGGTGGAAAGAACTGTCACAATTTCAGGAGCCATTATTACTTCCAGAGACGCGACAACAATTCTTGCTTTCAGAGCTGAGGATATGATAGACCTCATCCAGCAGCGTCCCCTCCCCAGCCTGAGAATGTGTTTGCTCTTCTCTTTCCTATGTTCATAAAATCTGGACAGCCTCTGCCTAAGTCATATGGTTGCCATGGGTTCACACTTCATTCACCTCATTTTGTAGTCTACAGCCTTCATCAGGATACAAGAACATTTCCCAGCAGAGCACAGGACACGAGACACGCGGGACTGGAGACTCTCTGGTACGCACGGGGCCTGATAGGATGTGGTCTGTTCATTCTTACTCATTCTTTCCTGAAATTCTGTGGATGGAGGTATTGTGTTATGAATGGAGTTATTAGTATTCAGGAGCATTTTGGTTATTTTTTTCCCAGCGTGAGGATTTAGAATGTCTGTTGCTGTCTTTCTAACGGAACACTTGTATATCCCTCTAGGACTCGCTCCTTTCCCATCTAATCCGCTCGCCCCGCAGACATTCGGTGAGATGAGGTGCAATAAGTTGGGCCGCTTTCTGCATTTTGCTTCTTAAAATTCTTGCCTTGTTTGGGTTCAAAGTTAGGTCTCAGTTCCTCCCGAGAGGCCCTTTGGATTCTCCAAGTTTTGACAGATCTGACAGAAGCGGGATATGTAAAGACACAAGAGGCCCCAGAACACATCCATTCTCCTGTGCATCAAAGGCCTCTACACTATCGCAGAAAGGACTTAAGGCATCTGATGCCTATGCCCAGGAAAGAGTCGGTAAGTACATGGCCATCCAAGACAACCTTTCCCACGGTAAGCTCTTAAGTCTTTCCCTGTTGGTCTTGAAGAGTTATTTGACGGTTAAAGTGCTTCAGTCCCCCAGTCCCCAACTGCCATGGATTGCAAGAGCACCCTTGACCTGTTTTCCCTTGGGAATGTCTTGGAAAATGTGACAATTGTTGGCACACCTGCAGAGGGTCTAGCCAACAATAGCCCTTGAAGAAATGCAGGTTGCTCCATTGAGCTCTGAAGCTAGAACAGGGTGGGCCTCCAGCTGCCCCACCTTGCTCTGAGTGCAGTGGAGATGTATGTGCACTGGCCAACTAGCTAGTCTAATGGGTAGAAAGGGACGACTAGAGGAAGGGCAAGGGCTATTCTTTCAGGGACTTAGAAGTTAACACACTACCATTTTAAAAGGATTAGGGCCACTTTTTAAAAACCCTGGCTACTCCCCCCCCCCCCCCCCCCCGGCAATGTATACCCAGCGCATCTGTCTGTTGCAATGCTCTTCTTTTGGCGCTCAGACTTCCTGTCTTTCTGCAGCCCGGGACATTCCTCCCATCGGCTGTGACCTTGAAACTCCTCCCTAAAGTTGCCTTGACAAGACATTGACAGGTTTCTTCTGCGCTTCAGTCATCTGATCCCGGAGATGACCTGCTCTGGCGTATTACCTCCTCTAGGCTGCTGAGGGCTGTGCTTTTCATTCTGAAAATGGCCCCTCTTATTGAAAACCAAAGATCAACAAAGCAGCCGATAGCCCTGGCCCATCTGGCCATCAAAGAGCCCTCCCTATGCAGAATCATACTGAACTCTTTATGCGGTCATTTCCCCCTTTCATCTGCTTTCTCTCGCTCCCCCATTTCTGTTCTTCTGTCCATCTGCAATCACAGGGATCGTACGGTGGTCAGGTTTCAGTTTCTGATGCACACCTTACCTTGAAGTCAGACACTCTTAGTGAAAGCCCGGACGGTTCCCTTCTTCTCTCTGCTTCATTTCAAGTCTTCTCAGGTTTTCTCCTTCATGCTTTTTTTTCTCAAAGTAGAATTAATTAATTGGCAAAAATTTGGAAACTACAGAGGAGTATTGTGTCCGTGTGTTTTGTGTGTGTGTGTGTTGGGCATGTGTGTGTGTGTGTGTTGCACTACAGAAAGGACACATATAATATTGCTCTTTGAGTGAGTGGACCTTTGTCCTTAGAGGTCATATAATATAAAGCATTTAAAAAATGATGTATTTAGCATATTGCTTCCATAGATGCATACTTTATATATAGCACAGTAGAATATTTTAAGCATTAATTGACTTATTTTTCCTCATACTCTTTTTTACTCTCATTTTTTTTTTCATATGGGTCAAGAGATAGGAGTGCCTATGCTTCAAGAGAAGTTGTTGTGGGTCCAGAAGATAAAGGATACAAAGTGTTGCTTCTTAATTCCACAGCTAGCATCCAAGCAGGGGACTAATGAGTTCTCCATATAGCTTCTACCTTTCTTATCAGATAGAGGAATATGACAAGAGTTATATCAGGAAATATAAGCACAGAAAGACTCTAATTGCAGCAACAAGAATAAAAATCATCAAGTAATGAACTTCTTAAGAAAAGTGTAAGACTGACTTATAGAATATCAGCTTAAAAATAGCTGCACAGGGCCTGGGGAGATGGCTCAGTCAGTGAAGAGTCTGGACAAGCATGAGGACCTTGACTTCAGATTTGCAGCACCACACGAAACACTGTGGGCAGAGGGCAGGAGCAGCGGCTCAACCATTGAAAGCATTGGCTACTCTTCCAGAAGACCTAGACTTGATTCCCAGCTCCCGCACAGCGGCTCAAACCTTAAACTCCAATTCCAGGAGATCCAGTTTCCCCCTTCTGGCCTCTGTGAGCACCACATGCATGAGGTACCCAGACATACATGAAATCAAAGTGGACATATGTATAAAATAAAAATAAATAAATCTTCAAGTACAGCTTGTCTGTAACATGAATGCGGGAAAATAGGCGGCTCCCTGGAGTTCATTGGTCAGCTGGCCTAGCCAAATGGGTGAACTCGAAGTTCAGAGAGAGATGTTATCTCAAAAAAAGAGAGAGAGACAGAGAGCAATAGAAGAAGAAATCCAGTGTTGACTTCTGCCTTCCACAGCATATGCACACACATACATCACATACATGCACACACACACACACGAGGACCCACAGTTTTGAACCCATTCCATCTTGATTAAAGGTCAGAGAGTTCAAACCTATTCTTGCTGCTCAAGGACGAACAATGGTGTAGCTACTGGATGCCTTGCTCCTCAAAGGCCAGACAGAAGGATGTTTGACTTAGGGTGAAATTAATAAGTTTTTTGAGATATAAGGAAGTAATTACGTTTGCTTATTCTTTGTATCATGGAAGTTTGTGCCCTCCCCTTTAGATTTTTTTTTTTTAACAGTATTCACTGGAAGTCCTTATCTTAAGTCACTGGAAGACTCTTCTATCTCTTGTCTATTTCTTTTCTCAATTCACATTCTCTTTTTCAGGAACGTACAGACAAGTCAGGCCGGACCCGACAGACACACACACGCAACTCTACAAAGGTCAGAAATAAAGACAGAATAAATGCAGAGAGTGACCCTCTTTTGGAATGATAGAATGACAATATTATAAAGGTCCTAATTGTCTCTAAATTAATTATTTGTAAAATGTATGCAATCCCACTTGGAAAGAATCCTATGAGGATTATCTGTGGAGTTTATCAAGATGACCCCAAAGATCAAATAGAAATGAAAACATGAGGGAATGTTAGGAAAACTGGAATAGGGGGTTATCAGGAAATTTGCTTTATTATAAATCGAAAATGTATTACGAAGTTTTCTAGGCAACATTCAGGTGGGAATAAAAGCAGAAACAGTGGGAGAACAGGTCTGAAGCGGACTGTAGTATATGAACATGTCGTTTCTACAGACTTTTGTATTTTATCCCCCAGTTGTTAAGTCCTGTTTCTCCCTATTGAGCCCCTTTTCCCCTTCTTCCCGCAAATATCCATAATCATGGCCTAAATACACAACAGGATTACAGAAACCTTTTGATGAAATTTATCCAAAGGTTGTGACCGGAGAGATAGCTTGGTCAGTCAAATGATTGCCATGGAAACATGAGGCCTTGAGTTTGATTCCCCAGAGCTTGTAACTCCTGTGTTGGGGAGGTGGTAAAAAGCCAGCCCCTGGGACTCTCTGTCCAGGGAGCCTGACTGAACTAGTGTAATGAGTTCGAGGCCAATGAGAATTTCTATCTCAAAAAAACAAAATAAATGGCCTTCTGAGAAATGGCTCCCCAAGTTACACACACATTCTCTCTCTCTCTCTCTCTCTCTCTCTCTCTCTCTCTCTCTCTCTCTCTCTCTCTCTCTCTCTCTCTCTCTCTCACACACACACACACACACACACACACACACAATGGCAGGGGCACAGGGAGGCCACCAGCCCACCAGCTAGTCACTGCTTGCTTTGTGCACCTTCACATAGTCTTCTAGTCTGGGGATGGGTGCTCGCTCTGAGTTACACACTTACAGAGGGTAAAGGACAAACAACACTTCCAGGAGAGGGGAAGTTCTCCCTGGGACTCGATGACCTAAGTGGGGAGCTTCAGGACAGAGAATCTGTCTCAAACACACAGTGGATGGCTCCCCATGACTGACACCTGAGGTTGTCCTTTCAGGAGAGGGGGTAGGGGAGGTGAGGAGAGGAGAGGAGAGGAGAGGAGAGGAGAGGAGAGGAGAGGAGAGGAGAGGAGAGGAGAGGAGAGGAGAGGAGAGGGGATTGCTAAAGAAGTCCTTTTGTAAGAAGGTAGCCATTAGAACAACAAAGAATGTGCTAATTTCTTATTTTCTTACATAAAAGTGAACTTAAAGTCCAAGTTTTAATTTAATAATTTAAAGTATAAATTATTGTCTTACCCATCCCCCATATCTTTCTGAGGCATACATACACGTTATGTGTGTATGTGAAACAATCTGATTGCCCCCTCTAACGTGACAAGGCACCTTTATCGCTCACTCACTTTTCACGCACAGGTTCCCTTTTTCCCTCATAAATATGGAGGGACACATGATCCACAAAGTCATGCATCCTATGGTTGCTGTGACGATCCATGAAGGAGGGCAGACAAGACAATAATCTGTGCAGGTAAGCAATTAGAACTACACTGCTACGGGTGTAACAACTGCCACCGTCAAATAAACGAACACTATTAACGCCCAACCATGGACAGCATGCTTTACCCCTCCCCCCACAGCCAACGCAAGCAGGTGTGTGCCTGTGTGTGAGTGTGGGTGTGAGCCGAGGGATGCTTAGATGCACTCAGCAAACTGCAAGCTCACAGAGCTGTGCTATAACCCACAGCTGCCATCCTACGTGTTAGTTCCCAGAATTTTTCACCTTGGAATTGAAGTTATACCTTTTGATCATCCGTACCTTTTACCCCATTTCCTTTAACACGACCTCCTCCCCGCCCCCACTACTGATATTGTCCTTCTACCTTCTGCTCAAGGAGTTTGACTTTTGTAGCTTCCACATTTGAATGAGGACATAAAAGCATTTATCTCTTTTGTGTTCCTTATTTCTCTTCATACAATGCCCTCGTGGTGTGGGACTATGGTCTGTATTCTGTCAATTATATTTTAAATAAACACTGATTGGCCAGTAGTCAGGCAGGAAGTATAGGCAGGACAACCAGATAGGAAGTAGAAGCACGTCAATGAGAACAGGAGAATTCTGGGAAGGAGGAAGCCCATTCCTCTGCAGTCCTCACCAGCCACCAAAGAAGCAAGATGTGACTGCCTCGCTGAAAAAGGTACTGAGCCATGTGGCTAACATAGACAAGAGTAATGGGCTAATATAAGATATAAGAGTTAATAAGAAACCTGAGCTAATGGGCCAATCAGTTTATAGTTAATGTAGACCTCTGTATGATTTCTTTGGGACTTAATGACTACTGGAACCAGGCAGGACAGAAACCTCAGTCAACACCCTTGGGGTTCACCCATATTTTCCAACGCTGGGGCTCTCTTCTTACGGTAATGGAATGATACTTAGCGATGTAAATCGCACTTGAAATCGATTCATCTACCAACGGTCTTTGAAGCCAGTTCTGTATTAGGTGATTGTGAAGGGTGTCTTAGGATGAGGGTAAGCCACAGGCATCTTTTGGAGGGTATTGAGTTCCTTTACTCTGAGCATGTGTGCAGAAGTAGAACAGATAGCTAGATCATATCGTAGCTCTTGTTTTAACTTTTAAGGACCCTCCATAATGGCTGTTTTAAATCATCTTCCCATTAAGAGAACCAAGGTTCCCATTCCTCAGAAACTCCACCAACACTTGTGATTTCTTATCTTTTGGATAATCACTGTCCTAACATACATGAGTCACGCCTCACTGGAGAAACTGTAACACGCCCCAAAGGAAACATTCCTGAATGTTTTTATGCCTCTGAGTTGATGTGTGAGTACAATATTGCGTGTAGCCTGGGCGATGGCTAAGGTGTTGCTTGCATCTTAGGCTAAAGCCTGGTTTTCTTGCATTGATCGTATAGACTCAATACCACATGCAGTATCATTGTTCTCACTCAGGATACAATTCTGTATCAGAGCACAAAAGACACTGACTTCAACAAATCCTAACACAGTTTGCTCTTACAAAAAGCATACCAAAGACTAACAGGTTAGCTATGCAGCCTCAACCCCATCTTCCACTTTCCAGTCACTGAGCAGAAGGCAGGACAAAGGGAGACACGTAATCTTGGAGAGTGGCCGGCCAGGATCCTGAGCTCTCTCAATGGACAATCCAGCTCTCACCTCAAAAGAAATAAAAGTTTGTTTATCCTGGAGCCAAATATGAGTGGCTGTGGCCTAGGGACATGCATCCCAGTTACCCCAAATGATGTGTTCCAACATGAAAAACAATTTTGCAAAATTTTTTATAGTTGCGGAACAGTCATAAATCAAGGCATTTTTCAAATACATGTCTAGAAACATGCCCTTCAGGTCTGAGGCTGGCGAAAGAGAGCAGGCAGTCGGCATTCCAGAAGGTTCCACCTGATGGCCACAGGATGTTAGGTCAGACCCAGAAGTGGGTAATGAATGGCTCTAAAGGGGCTCAAAGACAGCGCAAGATAAATTTGACTCTGGATCTGCAACATTCCAACTTTCCTAGATCACGAAGTTCTTTTCAATCAGGCATATAGAATCTTTCTCAGGGGCATGGCTCCCCCACCCCCAAAGGACTCGAACTCAGAACACAGTGCAGCCTTTTGCTCCCTGTCCATTTAGGAGAGCACTGCAAGAGGCAACTGCGAATTTAGCCGTTAGCCTTCCAGAAATTCTACAATTGCAACATTGAAACTAATTATTGACTCTGGCTTGGGGCTCTCTCCACCTGGAGTCACTTAGTCCAGTGCCACAGAGATTGGTTTCCTCTTTTCCAAGTTGTGCCTTCTAGTAATTGAAAAAAATTGCCTTATTTACATTTTTCTTTTCAGTTTTGAAGCTCAAGGTTCCTGTTCACAGGAAGGATTCTATCTTTTGTACCAGGGTCATGCCACCTGGGCATGGCAGAAGCCACTCACTTCCGCCTGTGTGAGAAAAGCAAGATGATGTCTCCGCATTTACGTGTGTCCTGGCTACTTTTCAGAGATCCCATTCCCTTTCCCAAAGTCAGACCCAGCCAGCCAGACCCGTCGTGCAAAGCATCATGGGCAACTTTGCCCGGCTCACATTTTCCTCTGTCTTTCAATTCTTTATGATGCGAAAATTACTGTTAACTTTTGGACTGTACAAAACCAGGCAGCTGGCGTGGATTTGGTACATATGTCACGGTTCGCTGTCCCCTGGTGCAGACAGTGAGGCATTATTGTGAGTCCTTATGTTTATCTGAACGGTAAGGAAGGAGAAATCATAGCAGATGGTGGATATCAGGAAACCCCAAGGAGCCCCTTGCTCCATCTGAGCCACGCCAGCGGCCCTGTGATCCTGGTGTAGGTAGGCTTGCTGTTCCTCACCGAGTCTGGGAGACAAAAATATGCTAATCTACCAAATTATTATTACAAGTAGGATCAAAGCTGAGTGGGGCCTCACAGACATGTCAGGGCATCGTAAATGGTTATAAACACCTGTTCACGGAAACTTGACTGTTTTGAAGAAAAGCTGTAACCTAGAATATCTGATTCCCATTCCTAAATTAAAAATGCCCATGAGTCTCACTATCTTTCCTTGTTGTGACATCATTTCTTATGTGATTAATTCGTAAGTATGTCCTGCACACCCGGGCCACGTACCTAGGAGGGTAATTAGAAGGCAGGGACGTGTTAATAAATTACTGTCGCTTCTGTCCAGCAGGGGGCGCTCGCGGACTAGAGGCGTAACACATTTATATCTAAAGCACCGAGGGTGCTCAAAGTGTGGAAAAGTACAATAAATCAAAGTTTTTCTTTTTTAAAGAAAGCCCTGAAAATTAGATACTGCTTGAAGGGTCTAGAACGGTCGTAAATTCTCCAAAATGACTGGAGAGAGGGACGGAGGAAGCAGCGTGCTAGCGTCATTGTGGCATAGGTATCCAGGGACTAGCCCACCAGTATGGGCCAGTTGGCTAAGGAAGAGCCAGGCTAGTGGGTCGACGAAATAAGAGATCCTAATTCATTATAAGGACTCTGGATTTTATTTCGAGCGAGATAAAGTTTCTGGAAGGTTTTGCGAGAGTTGGGGTCTGATTTAGATAGGATGGACCCATTTCTAATGACCTGGCCAGGAACACATAAGGCAAGCACGGCGTCAGGGACAGTGGAGAGACTATAATTGTGTAGTGACGCTTGCCAGTGGTGGGACAGGGTGCGGAGAGGAGAGACCCTGGTTGCACCTGGCTCCACACGCCCAGAGTAAGTCTGCCTTTATTGTGTGTATTTTCTGATCCTGGAGAAACCCGGTGCCGTTTAATTGTCTATTCGAGGATAAGCGCTAGTAGCCAAGGCCTTTTACAATGGAAAACACAGGCTAATTAAACTAGGATTTATTGTATGGCTTATTTTATGTCTTGAAATCTAGACAGAGTCTTGTTATTATCACTAATAAAGAGCCCTACCTATAAATTAGGGTGACTTCACGAGGCAGCACTTTCTTTAATATTGAAGAGTTGACAGGATCTATTTAGAGCTGAGTTATGTAGCACACTTATCTTTCAGCGGTCGCTTGCTTTCCAATGCTCCCCTGACGTCACCGGATCGCCTCGGTGCAATCGGAATGAACACAAACAAACCCCACTGGACGCCCAACACCGCAGAGCTGCAAATCTAAACTGGAGGTGAAGCCTCAGTCGGTTGCTGGCAATGACAGCTGAGCGATGGGGCTTAGCTCTTAAAATTGATACATTTAGAGTAAGTTAGGAGCCGGTAAATAACCTTCACATTTCCAATTCACTTGCTAGTTGACTGCCGGGGGTGGAGGGGGTGGGTTAGGGTTAGGGTTGGTGTGTGTGGGGGTTACCTACAGAGTGAATAAGTTTGTTACATTGTCTCTGCACCCCCCCCCCCATTACTCTGACCCGTTGGAAGATTCATGTCAATTCTAAGCTTGGAATTTTTTTCCTTCTCTCCAATACTTCCCAAATTCATTTGCTAGTTGATTTTTATTTTTTATTTTTTTGGTATTAGCATCTTTTAAATATAAAGGGATATTTTTATTAGAACAAATGGGTCTTCTTGCTAAGGCTTAATCTTTTATTTCCTCGGAATTATAACTTTTATAAATAAAAGCATGCAGATTTAAATTATTTCATATTATAATTAATTTTCACAAACATATATATCTATACTCATGCAACTGTTACCCAGGTAGAGAAATGACGTATTTATAGACTCTCAAATAATTTTTTTTGACATTTCAAGACAGGGTCTCCTGGTTAGTCCTGGCTGTCCTGTATCCTGGAACGCACTCTGTAGGCCAGGATGGCCTCAAACTCAGAGATCCACCTGCCTCTGTCCCCCAAGTGCTGGGATTAAAGGCGTGTGCCACCACCAACTGGTGAATCCCAAAGAATTCTGCTCCCTACTAGCTAATGCTAGGAATCATACTAACCTCGCTCCACAGTTTCCCCATCTTAAACTTGATACAAACAGACTCCTGCCACGCACAGCACTCTGGACCTCACCTCCACACATGACATGGTCTGTATGAACTTCATGTGTGCAGTCACAGCAGCAGAAGCTCACTTTTCATGCCTCTTTAGCACTGTGCTGTGTAACTAAACTGTGGTTTGTTTATCCACTGATGGAACTCAAAGTCTCTAGCTTTGCACTGTGGGTAAAGTTGCCATGAACTTTCTCATACATGTACTTGGTGCCAGAGTATTTGTCATTGTTGAATTGCTGCATCAGAGGTCTGTGTATGCTGATTCTCCCTCTGTGTGTGTGCATGTGTGTGTATGTGCGTGTATATGTGTATGTGTGTATGTGTTTGTGTATATGTGCGTGTGTGTGTGTGTGTGTGTGTGTGTGTGAAGCTAGAGAGTTTTCTGTTATGGAACAAGGAATAAACCCATGTCAGAAAGATAGCAACACACATGACTGATTTGATAGACTGTTTAACTGAATTACTTGAAATTGCCTGGCTCCTTTGCTCTTCAATAGAACAAGGGCAGATGACACAGCTGGCAGAGCTGAGCAGAAGTGGGGGCTGGAGGTTGGTAGAAGCATAAAGCACACAAAAGCTATCTGACACAGTATGGCGTTTCCCAAAACTTTAAAGTAAAATTATCGTGTGAGCCAGCAACCCCATGTCTGGATATTTATTCAAAATAACTGAAAACGGGATTTCTAAGAGATTTGGACACTCACGTCTCAGTGTTAAAACAGTCAAGAGGTTGACTCGCCCTGAATGCTGACCAACAGGTGAGTAAACAGAATGTGGCCTGCAGACGCTATGGAGTGTCATTCAGCCGTTCAAAGAGGAAATCCCGCCACACGCTACAAAATGAACTGTGAGAACACTATGCTAATCCAGACACGGGAAGACCTACACGGGAGGTTCTCAACTGTGGGTCACAACAGTAGCAAAATTACAGTTATGAAGTAGCAACAAAAGTAAACTTGTGACTGAAGGTCACCCCAGCCCGAGGGACTCTACGGAAGGGTTGTAGGAAGGTTGAGAACCCCTGACTTACGCTGTGTGGTCTGATTCACAGCAAGGTATGAGAGTGACCACGCAAGCAGCACTGATGCTCTTTCAGGGGACCCAGATTTGGTCCCTGGCACCCACGTGGCAGCTCACGACCATTTATAACGCCAAGGTCATGGGGACTATCTCCCTCTCTGGCTTCTGTGATCGCTGTGTGAATATTCAGACCTCTAGAAAGCAGAACAGGGACGGCAGGATGACCAGGGGAGGGGAGGGGAAACCCAGGCCTTTGTCTGAGGGTGTAGAGGTTTACATCAGCACGGTGGAAAGGTTGTAGAGATCATTCCTACAAAAGCAAACGCTATACAACACTCTCAAAGTGTTTAAGATGGAAATAAAGGCAGAAAAGGGCTTACTTTAGAACTGGGAACCCTTTTAAAGTTAAGGTGCGTTGCCTCATTTCCTCCCTTCCCTTCCCTCCCTCTCACCCCTCTCATGCCCTTTCCTCATGTCCTCTCAAATTCATGGTCTCTTTTTCTTTGCTTATTACACACACACACACACACACACACACACACACACACACGCACACACACACCTTGCTGAGTCCTTTAGTGCTACTTGTGTGGTTATGATGTCAGGGCTGATCACTTGGTGTTGGATGACCAGCTAGGGGCTCAGCCCTTGGGGGGAATGAGCTCTGCCTTCCTGGCAGTCAGTTGCTATAGTTCTTTGTCTAGGGGTGAGGGTCCTGTGAGGTTCCCTCTTTCTACATTAGTATGTCTATTACTAGTTGTTATTTTTTAAAAACCAAAGAAAAGGAACAGCACCCGGTAACGCCAGCTGACAAGTAGTCCTCGCTCAGTTTTGGCAAGCTGGTCTTAAAGAGAGGAGATGGAGAAGCTGCCTGCGAGATTTATGAGTTTCAGAATGATTGCGGTTGGGGGCGTGCTACTCCATGGAAGTGGCTCAGGGGGAGGGCAAGATCCTGGAAGTTGAATAGACTTATGTAACTATTTGCTCAAGTGTTAGAGATCATTGTAACTGGAAGAATTTGTAAGTACCCGACAGCTCTTTCCAATCTCCGTCTCTCTGAATAAAACCATTCCAGTCCTTCAGATCTTTGCATGAAACAAAGTCCCGAAGTTGTAGCAACTCATAAATAACCTGGCTGAGGCTTTCAGCCAGTGACCTAGCAGCTTCCAGCTTGTCAATGGATGTGATTGAGTGTAAAGCCTCTTGGCAACCGCCGCCATGGAGCTAAAGCTGCCCCTGCAGAGGTTACCTCCACCGAGGATCAACTGCCCACAATTTCTGGCTGGGGCACCGGAGCCTCAGGAGCAAAGCCGGGGCTTTAGACAGACATCATACCTTCCCCAAAATGGTCATGAATCGAGGTAAGCCGGCGAGCACCCAGGCATGTGGTCTGCTGATGAATGGCAGCCTTTCCAGCCAAGAGTATTATTGGATCTTTCTTGTCCTGAATTCAGCTTCCGAACTTGACCTTACTTGAAAATAGAATGGGCTATTTAGAAGTCCAGAGACAGGATTTATCGCCAAGGAATTTGTGAATTAACTTTCACCTCTTCTGGGACCTGAGCCTTTGGGTTAGTCTTAGGCAGGCTTTGACCTTGAGCTGGGGGGGGGGCGCCTGCCCTGCCCTTGACCCTGAACCCAGTACCTAACTTCAGAATGGAAGACTGGAGAGCTGCTGCCATCCCACCGCTTCCTAAATAGACCCAGATAATAACATTGTGATGGTGAAAACAGGAAGCATTGTTTTTATCAGCTCTGTGGTCTCACTAAAGCGGACAATATGAATTGCAATACTGTATACTTTCCGTGGGTCTGAATACACTTCTTTTTCTTTTTTCAAGGAAAGAGGGTGAAACTAATAGCTCCTGAGTTTAATTTTTCCTATTCCTTTACTGGTGGTTTCTCTCCCCTTCCCTTCCTTCCCCCCTCCCCTTTTCTCCCCCTCCCCGTTGCTTTCCTCTTCATACCAGTTGAGCTAGCTGGAAGAGCATTTATGAGTTTGGAGCCGGAGAAGACAATCTCAAGAAAACTTCCCAACCCTCGGTGGATCACTCTCCCTTCATTTCGGATAAAGGTGATTGCTGTAGGAAATCCTACAGCCAGTAGCCTTTAAGTTACCTGCCCACTTGGGCGTGGCCTCTTAACTATAAATGCCGACTAAAGCATGCATCTGGCCTCTTTTCCGACTGTGGGATTCAGTTGCGGTTCTCCATTCCAGCAGAGGATATTGTTTTTGTAAGTCTACCCCTAAATAAATAACCCTCTATTATTCTTAGTTCTGAGCTAGTGCGGGATTTCTTTCAAGTGTCCATCTTCAGGTGATGACATTAGGTTATGTGGTTTCAGAAACAATCACGCAAAATAGATAATAGGTATTAAGTACCACTTACAATTTATATCATACTGGGTTCTCATGGGTAAGCAACACGAAGAACATTGATATGGGGTAAGAAAGGAAAAAAGGAAAGAGCTCAAATTGTGATAGAACTATTGGAATGTAGTGATAAGAGCGGCGGGGCTGCGTCCCCGGCACCCGGCCGCCCGCATGGCTAGCTTATGCCTGAAATAATTACACGGAAACTGTATTCTTTTAAACACTGCCTGGCCCATAAGTTCCAGCCTCTTACTGGCTAGCTCTTACAAATTGACCTAACCCATTTCTAATAATCTGTGTAGCCCACGAGGTGGCTTACCAGAGAAGATCTTAACCTGCGTCTGTCTGGAGTGGGAGAATTATGGCGACTCCCTGACTCAGCTTCTTTCTCCCAGCATCCTGTTCTGTTTTCTCCACCTACCTAAGGGTTGGCCTATCAAATGGGCCTAGGCAGTTTCTTTATTAGTAAGAAATCACTTCCACATTGGAAGAGATCCTAAAATTTCTGAGAATCCAATACGCAGGAAAGGGTGTGGAAGAAGCACACGATTGTATTCAGTGAAGAACGAGGTTGTTGTGGCAAATAAACAAAACGGAGCACACACTCCCGTGTAACTTGCCTGTGTAAGCCAAGCAAACCCCTTCCTTCACTTAGCTGCTTTTGTTCCAGGCATCTTTTATAACCATGAACTTTATATTGTATTTATATTGCTAAGGCCACTTTAAGAAATGAGATTTTTTTTTAAAAATAATATGATCAGAAGAAAAAAGGAGCTTTCCTATGCAAGACCAATCTAGTCAATATTCCAGCTTGGAGCAAGAGGGGCTCACGAGTTCTCACCCTTAGCTGAGGAGCAGGTGGCTTCTTGGGGAAGGAGAGTCATAACCCATGGTAGGTCAACTGATGTGCCAGGGAATGGGCCTATACTCATGATTATAGGAACAGCACGAACTGGGTTGGGTTGGTGTCACACACACACACACACACACACACACACACACACACACCAAAAAACAGGACCTGAAGTTGGGAAGAGGTGAAGTATGGGAAGTGGATCTAAGAGGAGTTAATATGTTCACATTATATTCATGTATAAAATTCCCAACGTATTAATACAAATATTGTATTTTTAAAATGAGCTCCAATCATTTTCCAGGTGAACAGGCTGGGGTTCCCCGAGGTTAAGCACCCTGCCTTTGGATCTACATCTCATGGCAGAGCTGGGCCAGAACCAGGATGTCCTGGGACTGGAGCTCATGGTGGGGGCAGTCATCCTGCTTGAGCACCAGGCTTTTGAAATGTGACACCATCAAAAAACGCCCAGAGATCTTCCATGCTGGAGCGAGAACAGCTTTGCGTTCAGATCAGGGATCAGTTTTTGCATTTGGAAATCAAAGTATCCGAACCCAGACATCCTGACCTATGTTCCACAAGGGGAGAAATTGGAACAAACACGGGCTCTGGACTGACTTGGCTTATTCAACTGTCATGCCCATGCAAGCTGGAATATCAGCCTGCTGCAGGGGACTGCCTGCTGGTGGGACGCCCTTGCCTGTTGGCACATTCCTTGGCGATTGTCTCCTCCTTACCAAATGTAAACCCCACAAAGGACAATGTTTGTTCCCCCTTTTTAATGCATACATGAACCTTTAATTGTTGTGTGGAGCTGCGGGCCACTTCCCTGCCGCCCCAGCTCCCGGCCGCCAGCTAGCTCTAGCTTATAGCCCAAAATAATTACACGGAAACTGTATTCTTTTAAACACTGCTTGGCCCATTAGTTCCAGCCTCTTATTGGCTAGCTCTTACATATTAATCTAACCCATTTCTAATAATCTGTGTAGCCCACGAGGTGGCTTACCAGGGAAGATCTTAACCTGCGTCTGTCTGGAGTGGGAGAATCATGGCGACTCCTGACTCAACTTCTTTCTCCCAGCATTCTGTTCTGTTTTCTCCACCCACCTAAGGGTTGGCCTATTAAATGGGCCTAGGCAGTTTCTTTATTAGTTAACCAATGAAAGCAACAGATAAGATCCAAGACCCACCTCCATCATCTAATAGTGCCCATTTTAGTTTGCTTCTCTGTTTTTGTGCTAAAACACTTTGACCAAAATCAGTTTAGGGAAGGTAAGGGTTTATTCAGCTTACACTTCCGGGTCATACTTCATCACTGAAGGAAGCCAGGGCAGGAACTCAAGCAGGAATCAAGGCAGAAAACACGCTTTCTGTGGGCTTGCTCACTGGGTCATGCTCAGCTCAATGTCTTCAAGGTTCATACTCACCTACCTGGAGATAGTGCCACCCATGGTGGGCTGGGCCCTCTAACATCAAGCACCAACCAGGACAGTCCTCACAAACACAGCCACGGGTTAATACGATCTAGGCAGTCCCTCAGCTGAGGTTCTGTCTAGGTTGTGCCAAGCTGTTCATAACTAATTAACATAGTACCCAACAGATAATTAACTTTAAGTGAACATGTCTTAAGAGAACAAATAAAAAAATGAGTGCTCCAAATGTCTCCATCCAGGCGTTTGGACTGGCACAGGAATCAAGTCACCTGTCTGGTTTTGATTCTGAGACCTGTACTGTATGTGCTTTGGCCAGCTCCAAGCTCTGCAGCCTCTGCCAGCAAAAGCAACCATCCTTGTACCACTGCTCAGATCCTAGGATACTACCAGTTTTTCATCACACTCCTTGCTCCACTGAAGACTGATAGCAAAGAAAACACAAGGAGGCTGCCCCTAGAAAACTGAATGCATCGTATTTTGGAAAAGCAAAGAGAATCTTCTGAGCTCTTACATGTGTGAGGAGTCTGCTGGTGGCTCACCAGGGAAGCTGGTCAGAAAGCCCCTGTAGAAGAAGGGATTGATCCACATGCCCGTGTGCATAAAAACGGTCTTCCATACAGAGCCTGCTTTGGAGGGCTCATCCAACACCATCGCCCAAATTAACATAGCCTCCAGACCGGTATGTCAGATCTCTTTTACATATTTCACATCCAAAAGCACCAACATGTCTTCCTCACGACACAAGAGGGTGATGAACTTCTGTGCTATTCTGTCCTGAGGGTGAGGTGTTCTTCCAGTCCAAACCCTGGATGAGTGGACAGAAAACCCTTCATTGTACAGAGATGTTTCCATCTCCCAGAGGTCTACAGAATCTTAAAGGATTCCCAGCGGGAGCAGAGAATGCACAGCTAGTTAGCCCTTGGCTCTTGTTTTGAGAGGTTCCCAAGACCGATCTCTTACCAGATTTCACACCATTTTAGGAGGCGTTAGAAAGACGTGAGGAACACGAACTTCTGCTCTGACTTGCACATGAATGCAATGGTCAAGTAAAAAGATGTCTGTGGTGCTGGCAATGTCACTAACACACCATTTGCAAGGGCTGCCTGGCAGGCTGGATATCGTTCTTCGCTTCTTATCAAATGAGCGACATCGTCGTCTAGAGCTTAAATGGGCTGATTAAGAGTTTTGGAGCTGGCCATCTGCTAGCCGGAGAACAAAGACACTGATCATTCACAATGAGGGGTGGTATGCTGCCTCAGAAGGAGATGTAGAAATAATCCAAACATCTTCCACTGAGGCACGCTATGGGGATATTTGCAACGCCTCTGCTTCAGCCCTTCTTTCTCCCATCCTTGTCTAATACTCAACAAAAAGCTGCGGGTCTAGAAAGACATGCCTGCAACCTCAGACCCTGAGAGACAGAGAGAAGTGTGAGTACAGGCTAGGATGCATAGCAAGACCCTATGTTAAAAACAACAATGGCATAGTTGGGCACACCTTTAATCCCAGGACTCGGGAGGCAGAGGCAGGTGGAGCTCAGTGAGTTTGAGGCCAGCCTGGTCTACAAAGTGAGTTCCAGGACAGGCAGGACTCTTAGAGAGAAACCCTGTCTCGAAAAACCAAACAAAAACAAAAAAAAACAAAACAAAAAACCAAACAAAACTAAAAACACAGCAACAACAAAAACAATGCGATATGGGGTCTAGTCCACCTTATAAGAAGTGAGTTGGAGTGAGGAACAAACAGCAACTACAGCATCAGCACCAGTCTGAGAACACCTTCTGACGGCAGGACGCTGCTTGCTGCTACCCAGGCAACTACAACCAGTGGGTTCATCAAAACCCTCGCTTGTCAAATGCAGGAAAATAAAAATAACTTATGGCTTCTAGAAAATACCATGAAGGGGCAAGCAGCCTTCTCATGCAGGCAGCCCTGGGTCCTGCACAGCCCCGGAGATAACTGGAATATACACGGACAGTTACTGCCATGGTACCGAATGAAGTACGTGGCTTTGTGGTCTTGGAGGTTTGGGGCAGCGTTTGTGAAGAATATAGTCTTGATCAGAGAAGGAGGAGGATATAAGGAGGCCTAGCTTGTTCTGTCCTTATTTCTTTGTAAACCATCATCTGCCTTTTACTTGTTCCCACACTGGTAAATATGACTCATCGATGGGTTATTAACACAGAGAGAGACCAACATGACTGTCCCTTCTGTTGCCTGGACTCCACGAAAGTGCCAAATATTTAGGTTAGTCTGCAGGCAACAGGTCTTAAGACAGGAAGTCTCAAGAAATGTTTTGCAAATAGCTGTCATCTGAGTCAAGAGCATTGTTCCTCCAGTGAACTTGGGGGTTGGAGGATTGCATCAGGGGTGAATAGGTGAAGGGAGACAGAACGCTTTTCTCCTTGGGGATCTGTGTACGCTGCTAGAAGAGAAAGGCTGATGCAATGACTTTCTTCCTGAAAATTTAGAACACTTCAAAAATTCCCATTAATTCTGTTCTTTCCACAATGCTGTAGGTGGGTGGGCCTGGCGTGCGAATGTGCTGGTGGGGACACGGGAGCTCCATGTTTTGATAGCCACTCTTAGATATTAAAAAAAAAAAGGTGAAAATGTATGGCGTACATCACCACATGGACTCAAAAACCTGCAAATCCAGACCTTGTGCTTAGCATATTCAGTATTAGTTATCATCATGTATATTATCTTCGTTCACGGACTTTGATTATATAGGCACTGGCAGTGAAATCTGTTTATTCCAGATTGCTTTTCAAGGTATGCATATAGTTTTTTAAGCTAAAATATGTATATATGAATGTAATATCCTTAGAGTAATATACACAAACTGCCTTGTAGATTTCTTTGCTAGTTTAAGATCAATAGATTTCTCAATGAAATTGGGTTTCTTGAGCTTTGAATTTCACTGTACTTGCTAAAGCACATAGTAAATGTAAAATACATAGTAAATATAGGTAACAACAACAATAATACTATTAGTCACTATTTTTATGGTGAGATTATTCTATCTAAGATTGTTGAAGAGACTCTCCCTAAAACAAGAATAGAATTCTACAGAAAGAAAAATCAGGAATAATTTTTAAATTGACATCCTAAAGTTTAGATAATTCAGTTTCTTTGTAAAGTGTAGTGCCGGGACAGCTGACTCAGAGATTAAGGGCACTTTCTGTTCTTTCAGAGGACCCGGGTTCAGTTCCCAGCACCCACATCAGACAGCTTTCGACTGCCTATAACTCCAGTTGTAGATAGTCTCCTCTGGCTCCTCTGGGCATCAGGCATGCCTGTGGGGCAAACACAGACATGCAGGCACTCGCACGAACACATGAAATCAAATCAAATAAATCTGAGAAGAACCCAGATATAAATGAAATCCCAATTATTTGGGGGAATCTCTGAAGACTTACAAGCTGGTTGAGAAGGCTGGGTTCTTCGTGTGTGCACTTAGCATCCAATTAAACCCTGCTGCCTTCCTCACCTCTCAAGTCCTTATAGCAGTGATGGGGAATCCACGGTCTCAAGATGGCCCTGAGGTTTTCAAAACCCTTTTGGAGAAATGAACTAAGATGTAAGCCTCCATTCTTGAGCCAGGTTACTGTGTATGAGCAAGCCTTACTCATTTTCTCAACAAACACAGACTGTGCCTGATTGCGAGAAATGGCCCTGAGTTTGGGAGGCCATCGCTAGTATAAGGTTCTGAAGCCACATTAAAATTAATGTCTATAGAGACTCAGTGGGCAAAGGCACCGAATGCCAAAGATGATGACCTCATCATCCCAAGGACCCACAAGGTACAGGGCGAAAACCAGCTCCGGTGGGTTGTCCTTTGATCTTCATATGTTTACTGTGGCATGCACATTTGCACACGCGTGCACACACACACACATGCACGTACACACACATGCACGTACACACACATGCACAAAATAAATAAATAAATGTCATTTAAGAATTAAAAAGTCCATAGTTATTTTTGTTATGAAAGGAATAACAGGACTGACGAATGAATTCAAGGCATTGAGTGACTTTTGTTGTTGTTATTGTTTTGTTTTGTTTTTGTAAGACAGGGCTTCCCTTGTAGCCCTGGCTGTCCTGGAACTTGCTCTGTCGACCAGCCTGGCCTCAAACTCACAGAGATTCATCTGTCTCTGCTTCCCAAGTGCTGGGATTAAAAGCACGTGCCACCACCGGCCCGACTTGGTTGGCCTGTACAACATGCAATCATTGCGTTGTTCATTGATCTGACCCAACACCTGATTAGAAGAGACTTGGATGAGGAAAAATGTATTTAGGTTTACATTTGAGCAGCTATTCTCTAGCCTGTCATGCCAGGGAAGGCATGATGGCGGGGTAAAATGCTCCTGTTCGCTTCTCAAGGGACCAGGAACCTGAGCAACAGGGCCAGAAGAGAGGGTGGGCTCTAATATTCAGTACCTGCCCTCAACTCCAGACCCACACTCCTCCCACTGGGTCCCATCACTTAAAAGTCTCACAGCCTCTCAAAACAGCGTCTCCTTCCGGGAACCAGGCAGCTAGGGGTTACTAGCCTAGGAAAAACGTGGGAGCTGAGAAGATCTGCCATAGGCCAAAGGTCAGTACCTAAGGGCCAGAGTTACCCGCACAAGCTCAGTTGTCAGGAAGTGAAGGCAGGCCAAGAGTCGGTGAGCAGGTGGCTCCCAGCTAACAGGACACCCACACGGGAGTCTGGCTCGACCATTGCAGAAGGCTCCACTCCAGAGCTGGCGCAGACCATGCCAGAGCCGAAGGTCTTGAGAGCCAGCCAGGGGCCCGGAGAAACGGAAACGTATCCCTGTGCCAGGGAGACGCGGCTGATTGGTAGTGCTGGCTTTGTAATGGCTTGAATGTGTCGGAAGCCATCTACAGAAAAGCAAAGAAACGT